TTTTAAATCAATGCATCACATTTTTAAAAACAGTCTGCTGGTATTTAGGTTAAATGCTTTCTGGAGGTTGTGATCATTTTCATTGATCAAGGTACGTTCCACATCTTTTGAGGTCAAGTCTCTCTACAGCAGTGCTTGAAAAGTGAAAAGATATGTTAACTTTCAAGCTAAGAAGACTTTCCTACACCAGGCTTTAAGAAAGCTTTACAAAATTTACTTCTACATTTCCAGCATGCAACACACGCAAACAAAACAAAACAAAAACAAAACAGAGGTATATTTAAGATGTAATACTGGCATAGAAGAGAGAACCTAACTGTGGAAAAGAGAAGGAAATAAGGGAAGGCTTCCTGGAGGAGGTGATATGTGAGCCAAGATTGCACTGGCACAGCATGAAGGGAGTCAGAGAGAACAGCATCATTCCCCATTTCCCCAACTCTTTCTGTCCCCGCTATGCCTCCTCCTCAGGCCTTTTCCCATTAGTGAGATTTTGCTCCTCACAGGACCCCATAGGAAATATCACCTCCCCCTCCTCCTCCAGCTGCCAGCAGAACTGATTGCTTTCTCCTTAGTATGACCACCCCTCTCTAAAGATCACTGAACCACCCTTTAGCATTGAGTCACATTTTATATATTTATGTATGTGTATGCGTGTTTATTTACATAACTTTCTTCTGTTCCCTGTGAAGGACGTCTTGTTCAAAGCTAGAAAGAGCTTCAAAAATCATTAAGTCCTATCCTTTTATAAGTGAGAATACGAAGGCCTAGAAAGCTTCTGTGACTAAGGTCACCTAACTCACTATTTTAAAAGATGCTTTTTAAAAATCCAGCCCTGGGGCACCTGGGTGGCTCTGTCGGTTGAGAGCTGAGCATCTGACTTCGGCTCAGGTCATGATCTCACACTCTGTGAGTTCGAGCCCTGTGTCCAGCCCTATGCTGATAGCTCAGAGCCAGGAGCCTACTTTGGATTCTGTGTCTCCCTCTCTCTCTGCCGCTCCCCCACTCATGCTCTGTCTCTGTCTCAAAAATGAATAAACGTTAAAAAAAAAATTAAAAATCCAGAGACTTTTGAGGAGGATGGCTAGAAAGGTGCACATTACATATAGCATGCTGTCAAAGGTTCAAAATAGTCAAAGTAAAAAACAATGAATCACTAAAGTAATTAGTAAAAATTTATTGTGTACACACCAAAAATGCAGTTTGCAGACCGCGAGCTCTCAGACCAGAGCATGGAAAGAGGCTCGAGAGTATATTGTTATAAAGCAGCTTGCGCTGTGAGAAAGCAGTGACTGTTTATTCTTGACAAATTGGCTACAATATGAGAATTTTCAGTGGTTCCCTCATATCAACCTTGAGACACAGTTCAAGTTTTGTTTATCATTTCCAAAAGCATAAGTCCAAAATGATCTAGGTCAAGTTAGCCATGTAAAATAAGCTAAATTAAGCTTTGTATGATCAAACTGGTTTGTCCGTTTAGAATTTTTAAGGCTGGCCTCCGTTCGGTTTTTATTTTAACAGGCCATCTCCCTCAATAAATGCAACATAGACCCTGCGAAAGCTCCAGGAATACAAAGCAGCGCTATCTGGACGGCACTAGGACCCCGGGGGCGCCGGGTCAGCGCTCTCCGCCGGCGGGAGGTGGCGCCAGTTTGCAGTAGGGCAGGAGCTGCTAGCAAAGGGTGGGGGGAGGCGGGAGGATCGGGAAAGGCGGTCCTGACCGCCCTGCTCCGCCCGGGGGACCGCGCGGGGCCGACGGGTTTTCGGGGAGTGGGGGTCGGGCGCCCCCGGCTCTGCGTCCCTGCTGTTCGCAGCGCACTTCCTGTCGCGGGGTGGCTGAGGGCGCCGGCCGTCTCCCGGGGCGCGGCGTCCCGACGGGCACGTCGTAGCCGGGAGGAGAGAGCGCGCTTCCGCGGGGCACCGGGGAGGACACGCCGGGGACCGAGCTGGTGCGGCGGCGACGCCCGGAACGGGGCGAAGCGGGTCCCGGCGCGGACGCAGCCCGAGGGTCGGGGCGTGCAGACTGAGTGTGCTGACGCCTACGGGCCCCCTCGCGCTGTCGCTTGTGGCGGGTCGTGGTGTGAAGGAGGCTTTGGGGCGGGGATTGAGGGTCAAGGAGCCAGGTCTGGAGCGCGGGGGCAGGGCCAGGAGGGGCTGGGCCCGAGACGCGAGAAGGCGGGGTCCCCTGGGGCTCGCAGGCCCGCACCGGCCGGCCGTGGGGGCGGGGCGAGCCGAGGAGGCAGGGGTTGCAGGCGTGGCCTGTGGGACTGGCAGGTGTGGCCGGGCTTCCAAGCACAGCACCGCCTCCAGGCGCTGTAGGAAGAAACGCTGGAGGGGAAAGACCTGTGGGTCCCACATGCTTGAGGGACACAGGTGAACAGTTACTCTAAAATAGGGTCTGGAGCCCATGAGAAGGCTCTGGCTTTCGTCAGATATTCGAGGAGAGCGGATCCTGGGAGAGGAGAGCAAAGGACTGAACCTCAGGAACCTAGACAGCTGTTTGTGGTGTTGGCTAACCGGAAAAGCCTGGAAAGGAAACCGGAAAACGGAGAGCAGGTGTTAGGAGAGTGGGACAGAGAAATGTGCCAGAAGCTGAGATTAAGAGGGTGACTAAACCAATGGTAGCAATAACTTGCGAAAATGAAGTGAAGACAGGTTGCAGTGTGGGCTTGGAAATAGGGAGGCTTGGGGAGAGCAGGCAGCCAGGGAAAAGGACAGGCCCAGGGCCGGCTGAGAAGTAAAGCGGGTGAGGGCAAGTGTGGAGCCTAAGACCCCATGGGGGCTGAGATGGCATTTTAGTTGTCTTTGATTTCCCACAGCTGGCACAGGGTAGTTTGGGGGCTCAATTGTGCTGTTCTTTTAGGAATCGGTATAAAGAGAAGGGGAGAGCTGAGCTTCTTTCTGTCAACTTGTACAGAGAGAGTAGACCAGAGAGAATAGCACTGAGGGATGGAGGAGTGAGCTGTGAACAAAAACAAGACCCTTGCAACAGAGACAAAGGAAAGGATGAAGGGTGGGAGAAGGGACAGGTTGTGGGTGTCCCACCTTTTGTTTCCTCTTGGGAAAGTGGAAAACAAGGTCATCTGCTAGAATGAGATGGTGGACAAATCGGGTGGGAATTAAGAGAATGACATCTTTTTTTTTTTTTTGATGTTTGTTCATTTTTGAGAGACAGAGTGTGAGTGGGAGAGGGGCAGAGAGAAAAAGGGAGACACAATCAGAAACAAGCCCCAGGCTCTGAGCTGTCAGCACAGAGCCCAAGGCGGGGCTTGAACTCACTGACCACAGCTTCATGACCTGAGCTGAAGTCGGAGGTTTAACCAACTGAACCATCCAAGTGCCCCCAAAAGAGTGACATCTTTTAAAAGTCAAATTGCTGGGGCACCTGGGTGGCACAGTAGGTTGAGCCTCCAACTTTGGCTCAGGTAATGATCTTGTGGTTTGTGAGATCAAACCCCACATCAGGCTCACTGCTGTCCGCCTGTCAGCACAGAGCCCGCTTCGGATCCTCTGTCTCCCTCTCTTTGCCCCTCCCCAGCTTGGGCTCTCCCAAAAACGAAATAAATTTTTTAAAAGGCAAGTTGCTAAGGTAATTAGGTGAGAGAAATGTGCAAAGACAAGTAATAGAAATGGCAAATTATTGAAAGTCATACAGATTTTGTAGGGTTGCAGATCTGCTGTATGACATTATTTTCTCTAGCAGTGTTCAGCTGCCAGATAGCAGAGAGTGCTGAATGCTACCCTAAGGAGTTTGGGTTTATCTTCAAAGGCCAAAGCGTCCCAAGCCCTGCTCACTGGAATTTCCTACACATCTTCCCTAAAGCACAGATTTCCCAGAATCTCTGCCCAGAGATTTAGTGGGTGGTGAGGTCTGGAAATTTAATTTTAATTAGCTTCCTACTAATTCCCAAGTAGCCAGTTAAGTGATGGCAGACCCTGAAGATTTTTTTTTTCAGTTTTATTGAGGTATAATTGACAAATAGGAATTATATAGATTTAAGGTGTCCAACTTGATATTTTGATGTATACGTTGTGAAATGATCACTACAAGCAAGCTAATTAACATATTCATCACTTCACATGGTAGCCATTGTCTTTCTGCATGTGTGTGTTGAGAACAATTGAAATCTACCCTCAACAAATTTCAGGTATGCAATATGGTATTGTTAGCTGTAATTACCACACTGTACATAAGATCTCCAGAATCTATTCATCTTATATAACTGAAAATGTAAACCCTTTGACCAACATCTCCCCTTTCCACCTCCCCTTAGCCCCTAGTTACCACCATTCTACTCCCTACCTCTGAGTTTGACTATCTTAGATTACATATGTAAGTGAGATCATGCAGTATTTGTCTGTGTCTGCCTTATTTTAGCATAGTGTTAGCTATATAGCTAATTAGCATGTGTATTATGTATAATTATATATATAATATATATATTCATACATATATACAATAGGTATATACTCAGAAATGAGGTTACTGGATCATATGGTAGTTCTATTTTTAATTTCTTGAGGACACTCCTTACTGTTTTCCATAATGGCTGTACCAATTTCCATCCCCACTCCCAGTGTACAAGAATTGCCTTTTGTCCACATCCTTGGCAACACATATCTTTTGTCTTTTGATAATAGCCCTTCTAACAGGTATGAGATGATATCTCATTGTGAAGGAGCTTTCCTCCTATATTTTCTTCTAGGATTTTATGGTTTCAGCCTATGTGTAAGTCTTTAATCCGTTTTGAGTTGATTTTTATATATGGTGTGAGACAAGGGGCCAATTTCATTTTTCTGCATGTAGATACCCGATTTTCCCAGTAATATTTATTGAAGAGACTCTCCCCTGTTTTTGAAACTCCTGTTGAAGACCAATTGAACATAGATGCACTGATTTATTTCTAGACCCCGTATTCTGTTCCATTCACCTATATGTCGGTTTTTATACCAGTACCATTACTGTTTTTGATTACTTTGTAATCTGTTTTGAAATTAGGCAGGGCCTCTCTCCCATGGGGCTGCAGGAGATCCCTTTTCTCCTCAGCCGGGGCTGGAGGACAAGCTCAGCCCTTGAGGATCATTGTGAGGGCTGCCACAAGCTGGCAGCCTTGTTTTCCTGCCTCAGACATCTGTGGTTGCTGGGAGCCTCCACTTGTTCTATACCAGACATGCCAGTCCCATAGCCAGACTAGAGTCTGAAGTGACAGCACTGGGCATGGGGCCTCTGGCTCTCATTAGAGAGTGCTAGGTTCTCATGAGCTGAACCTGGCCTGTGTTGCCCCAAAAATAGCTTGGCCCTTTGCCCCATAAGCAACACCTAACAAACACCTAAACACACAGTTATGTACAACAAAGATGCCTGTGAAGGAGTGGGGCCTCTCACCTGGTCTCCTACTATACAACTGTTTTGGCCCCAGGGGATATTACTGGGAGAATAGAGGGTGCCCAAAAGTGGGGACTTCTGTTGTAGAAGGAGCATCTGAGGCTATCTAACTCAGAGAGAATCACCATTTTTCCCTACATGGATTAGCTTGGGTGCCAGCCAGGCTGTTCCATCCATCCACTCAGAGCTGTGTCTCCTGCCATAAGGTCCTGTACAAGATTGTGAGAGGTGGGGTGGTGAGGAAGAGCCATGAGTGGGTGCTGGAGAGTAAGGAGCAACACAGGTGTCAGGGCAAGGAGGTCAGACCTGGCACTGCCCATAAGCATAAGCCCCTCTTGTAAGCAGTAACCTCTATCTAATTGAACAGTTCTGGCTCCACACAGTTGCAAGTGGGAAGTTTTCTGTGTTGAAGTGCCTACTTAATCAACTGACAAAATAATGTTTTAGAGAAGTTTTCAAGTTCTAACAGTTTTTCTTCACTAACAAAAGTTCTGAAAGCATCTTTTTTTGTTCTAAAAGCAAGAAACCACTTTCTGTGGAGAAAAATTAGGAAATGTGATGTTCTTGCTCAAAATTGTTTTGGCTACTTCGGGTCTTCTGTGTTTCCTGTGATGAAGATTATTTTTATTTCTTTTTTTTTTAATGTTTTATTTTTTGAGAGAGAGAGAGAGAGAGACAGGGGAGCGTCAGAGAGAGAGGGAGACACAGAATCCAAAGACAGGCTCCAGGCTCTGAGCTGTCAGCACAGAACGCAACGTGGGGCTCGAACCCACGAACCGTGAGATCATGACCTGAGCCAAAGTCGGACGCTTAACCGACTGAGCCACCCAGGTGCCCTATTTTTTTATTTCTATAAAGAATTTCATTGGAATTGCATTGGAATTGCATTGAATCTGTATATCACCTTGAGTAGTGTGGACATTTTAACAATATCCTTCCAGACAAATATCATATGTTTGCACGTATAGGAGGATTAGGAGGAACTTAACGGAGGACCATGGGGGAGAAGAAGGGGGGAAATGGTGGGGGAGAGGGAGAGAGGCAAACCATGAGAGACTTTTGAATGATGAGAACAAACTGAGGACTGATGGGTATGGGAGGGGAGGGGGGAGATGGGCATGGAGGAGGGCACTTGTGGGGATGAGCACTGGGTGTTATATGGAAACCAACTTGACAATAAACTATTTGTAAAATAAATAAATAAAATAAATAAATAAATAAATAAATAACAATATCCTTCCAGTCCATGAGTATCGAGATCTTTTAACTTATCCGTGTCTGTTTGGATTTCTTTCATCAATGTTTTATAATTTTTGGTGTACAATTTTTATCTTTTTGGTTAAGTTTATTCCTAGGTATTTTAGTTTTCTTTGTTGCCATGTGATTGTTTCCTTAATTTTCTTTTCAGAATAGTCTTGTTAGTATATGAAAACACCACTGGTTTTCATATGTTGATTTTGTGTCCTGCAACCTTCCTGGATTCATTTATTGGTTCTAACAGTTTTGTTGTTGTTGTTGTTGTTGTTGTTGTTGTTGTTGAATCTTTGGAGTTTTCTACATACATAATCATGTCATCTACAAACAAAGATAAATTTACTTCTTCCAGTCTGTTTTGGATCATTTCTTTTTCTTGTCTAATTGCTCAGGCTAGGGTTTCCAGTACTAAACTGAATAGAAGTGGTAAGAGTGGGCATTGTTGCCTTACACCAGATCTTAAAAGTTTTCAGGGTTTCCTCATTGATCATGGTATAGGTTGTGGGCTTTTACTATATGACCTTTATTGTGCTAAGTTCCTCTACCTCTATTTTGTTGATAGTATTTATCTCAAGTGGATATTGTCAAGTGCTTTTTCTATATTCATCTATCATGAGATAATCGTGTTTATCTTTCATTCTTTTTTTAATGTTTATTTTTGAGAGAGAGAGAGACAGAGTGCGAGTTGGAGAAGGCAGAGAGAGGAGAAGACACAGAATCTGAAGCAGGCTCCAGTCTCTGAGCTGTCAGCACAGGCCCAACACAGAGCTTGAACTCTCAGACCATGAGATCATGACCCTAGCCGAAATCAGATGTTCAACCAACTGAGCCACCCAGGTACCCCTCTTTCACTCTGTTAATATGGTGTGTCATATTGATTGATTTGCCAATATGGAGCCATTTTTTTCATCCCACAGATAAATCCCACTTGATCATGGTGTGTAATCCTTTTAATGTGCTGTTGCATTAGTTTACTAATATTATATTGAGGATTTTAACATCAGGGTTCATTAGGGATATTGGCCTGTGGGTTTTCTTTTCTTGCATTGTCTTTGACTTTGGTATCAGGGTGATGCTAGGTTCATAAATGGTTTGAAAATGTTTCCTCTTCTATTTTTCAGAAGAGCTTTAGAAGGATTGGTATTAATTCTTCTTTGAGTGTTTGATAAAATTCACCCATGAAGCCTTCTGGTCCCAGTCTTTTTTTTTGTTGGGAGGTTCTTAATTATTCCTTCAGTTTTCTTATTTGTTATTGGTCTTTTCAGGCTTTCTATTTCTTCTTGATTCTATCTTGTTATTATCTAGTCGCTTTTCCATTTCTTCTAGGCTACCCAATTTGTTGGCATATAATTGTTCATAAAGTTCTCTATGATCTTGTTTATTTCTGTGGCATCCATTTAATGTTTCCTCTTTCACTTCTGATTTTATTTATTTCAGTCTTCTCTCTTTTTTCTTACTCTATTAAGGGCTTATCAATTTTTTAAATCTTTTCAAAAAATCAACTCTCAGTTTTGTTGATATCTATTCTATTATCTATTTGATTTATTTCCGCTCGAATCTTTATTATTTCTTTCTTTCTGCTAACTTGGAGTGTCATTAGTTCTTTTGTAGTTCCTTAAATTGTAAACTTAGGTTGTTTATTTGAGATCTTTCTTCTTTCTACTTCGTCTTCTTCATCTCCTTCATCTTCTCCTTCTTCTCCATCTTCTTCTCCTTCTGCTAAAAATGTCCTTCTTAGTACTACTTTGGCCGCATCCCATAAGTTTTAGTACATTGTGTTTGCATTTTCCTTTTCTCAAGATATTTTTTTAATTCCCTTTTGACCAATTGTTGAAGAATGTGGTCTTTAATTTCCACATATTTGTGAATTTTCCCATTTTCTCACTGTTATTCAGTTCTAGTTTTATTCCATTATGATTGCAAAAGATACTTGATATGATTTTGATCTTCTTAAATTTGTTAAAACCTGTTTTTTGACCTAATATGTGGTTTGTTCTGGAGAATGTTCTGTGTATGCTTGAGAAGAATATGTATTCTTATGCTGTTGTATGGAAAATACTGTGTGTATGTTTTAGGTCCATTTATTCTACACTGTTGTTTAACTCCACTGTTTATCAATTTTCTGTCTGGAAGTGCCACCCATTAAAAGTGTATTGAAGTCTCCTACAATTATTTATTGCCATCAATTTCTCCTTTCAGATCTGTCAGTACTTGTTATGTATACTTAGGTGCTCTGGTGTTGGGTGCATTTATATTCACATGATATCTTCCTATTGGACTGGCCCTTTTATCTTAATGTAATGACCTTCTTTGTCTCTAAAGACAGTTTTTTACTTAAAGTCTGTTTAGTCTGCTGTATTTATAGCCATCCTTATTTTCTTTTGATTATTATTTGCACAGAATATCTTCTTTTAATTCCTTCATTTCATCTTATGTGTATCTTTAAATCTAGAGTAAGTTTCTTATAGACAGCATATAGTTAGATCTTGGATTTTTTTATCCACTCAGTCATTCTATGTCTTTTCACTGAGGACTTAAGCAACTTGCATTTACAGTAACTATTGATTGGGAAGGATTTTTTAATTTTTATTTATGTATTTATTTACTTATTTATTTTGAGAAAGAAATAGCCAAGTGGTGGAGGGACAGAGGGAGGGCAAGAGAGAGAATACCAAGTAGGCTCTTTGCTGTCAGCACAGAACCCAGTGCAGGGTTCGAACCCACTAACTGTGAAATCATGACCTGAGCCAAAACTAAGAGTCTGATGCTTAACTGACGGAGTCACCCAGGCACACCAGGAAGGATTTAAATATTGCCATTTTGTTAACTGTTTTCTGTTTATCTTATAGTTCTTTGTTCCTCATTTTTTTTCTTTCTTTGTGTTCTTTTTTTTTTTTATTGATTGGCTTTAATTCTTTTCTCTTTTGTGTGGCTTCTGTAGGTATTCTCTTTGTAGTTACAATGGGGGTTATACAAAATATCTTCCAGTTATAACACTCTGTTTTAAGCTAATGACAACTCACCTTCACTTGCATACAAGTACTCTACACTTTTATCTCTCCCCTTTCCCCCACATTAGATGTTATTGATGTCACAATTTACATATATTTATATTGTATATCCATTAATGCAATTTTAGTTATAGTTACATTTAATGCTTTTGTCTCTTAATTTTTATACTACAATTAAGTGATTTGCTCACCATTGTTACAGTGATACAGCATTTCATATGTCTATATTTTCACCTTTACCAATATATTTCATACTTTAAGTTATCATTTTGCTGTTAGCATCCTTTCATTTCACCTCCTTCTAACATTTCTTATAAGGCAGATCTAGTGATGAAATCCCTCAGCATTTGTTTACCTGAGAAGGTCTTTATCTTCCCTTTATTTTTGAAGGACAGTTTTGCTGGATATAGCATTCTTAGTTGTCAGGGTTTGTTTTCTTTCAGCACTTTAAATTTATCATATCCCACTCTTTTTTGGCCTGTG